GGGCAGCCCCTGCACACAGCCCCTCCCCACCCTGGATGCACCGGCCCAAGTGTCCGGGTCTCACCGGAACCGAACAGGATCACGTTCCTAAGCCACAAACAATAGGAAACATCAAGCAGTGTCAGACCACCCTGGCTCTTAGACCCCCAGCTGGCCCCGTCTGCCCGGTGCCAGGCTGGCCCCGGCACCAGGCCCTGCTCTGCCCGGGAAGCATGACCAGACCCCCTGGGCACGCCGCACTTGGCAGCCACTGCTCTGACGGATGCTCGGAGCACAGGAGCGGACGGGCCTCTGCACCAGGCCCGGTGGAGGGAGCGTGACACGGCCGGCCCTAGAGGTCTGCGTCCCTTACCCAGCCGCGGAACATACAGACACCAGCTTCCAAAAGAATGGGAAAGTGGGGCCAGGACCTCCACCTTGAAGGCTCCCTGGAAGCCAGCTTCCCACTCGTACCAGCTGAACCCCGAGGCCAGCTCAGCTGCAACCACGAGGGCCGCTGCCCGGGGCTGCATCTGTGCACGGCAGGCGCAGATCAAGAAGGAAGGCTAAGCAGCGCGCATGGAAAGTACCACCTTAATCCCCCAATTATCCTGCCCAAACCTCTCCTTCCCCCTGAGGTAAACACTAAGCAAACCATCCACCAGAAATTAACATAGTTTCCTCCATTTTCTTCAGCTGATTTTTTCCAAACAGCGAGTACTTAAAACAGAGCAAATGGACCATCAAAACTGACCTACGCTCCAAATGGAGACTGGAGGGCCTGCTGTGGCAGGCTGGGGGGTGGGGGGGAGGGTATGTGTGTGTGGGGGGGCGCAGGCACGTGTGCAGTGTGGGCAGCACACCGCAGACCCGGGCCCTCCTGGAGCCGGGCGCCCACGCTGAGGCACCTGTGTTCCCTGCTCCAAGCCCGTCTTCCTCAACCCGGGCTCTCCCTTGGACCTTGCAGGAGCCCAGGTGTCTAGGGCTCCTCTCCAGGTCCGAGTGCCCCCCAGATCCTGAGGTGCTGGCCAGACACAGTTCTACTCAGAAAAAGGCACCCCGAGGGGTCATGGGGCTCACAGCCGGACTTCTCCTGGCAAAGGTCCTGGGGGGCTTGGGCTTCACACCCACAGGAACCCCTCAGAGCTGACAGGGAGCCTGCACCCGCTCCCGAAGGCGGGCATGACCCTGCACACAAAAACAGTGACTTAGGAATGAAAATATGGCCATTTGGTTAGCAAGAGCCCTTTTCAGCTGAGCCCGTCACCTCCGGAGAGTCCTCTAGCTAAGATGGGCCTGGCGTGCGGCCTCCACACACTCACACGTTCCGGGAACGTGGACTCGGAGGGGCAGGGGGTGCGGAGGGCAGATGTGGGGACACAGAGGGCATCAGGCAGGCCACATGGGCCCGGCTTCCTCGGCCCCGTCCCTCTGGCCCGGATGACACCACCGCACAGGATGAACCTGCCTGGTGCTTGGGTCTGTCACCAGGCAGACGGAGGTTCTGGTCCGCCCTCTGCTGCCTCCCAGCAGTGAGGCCGGGAGCCGGCGGCTGAAGCCTGTTCCCCATCTCTGCTGCGGGCGTCTGCTGCTGTCTGAGGACAAGAAGCGGAGATCTCCTGTGGTGGCTAAGGCCCCTGCGCGGGAGGCTGCCGGGGCCACAGGCCTCAGCTCTGTGGTACTTGGAGAAATCCATGGGAGTGTGGGGGGAATTGGCCAAAATGCTTAAAAAGAAAATTTAACTGGGACTGAGAGAGAAACAAGCCCCAGCCCTTGACCGAATGCAAAGCCCAGATTAATCCATTTCTCCTGAATCAGAATCGGACTGGTCAGGCCTGGGCGGGAAGGGCCACCTGGCCTGAGGTGGTGGGCACACACCCTGGACCACCTGCCCATCAGCCCGGAACCTCGGGGCCTCCAGGAAGGACAGCACCCACACCCCGTGCGAGGGCCCCGCCCAGCTAACAGGCCGCACCTCTGGCCTCCAGGACAGGCTGCCGCTGGTGCCAGCCCAGCCCTCACTTCCCTGTGCTCTGAGCCCCCGTGTCCCGGCCTCAGGGTGAGGCCTCCGCAGAGAGGGCTCAGGAAGGCTCATCAATGCCCTGGACTCAGACACAGGGTGCGCACCGTTGCAAGCTTTCTTACGTTATTTTTATGGCATTCACAAAGTGACAAGCCAGAGATGGCTGTGCGTCCCAGCCTGGAGCAGCCCTGACTCCAGCCCTGACTCCTGGCAGGTGCCTGCCCGGGCACTGCTTCCCCAGAGGGGCCCCCAGGTACGGCACCCCTCAACTGCCCCTCGACTCCTCCTGCCCCAGTCCCCACCCGCCAGCACTTCCCAGCCTCCCTCCCGGGCACCTGGAACTATGGCGGGAGGGCCCTCCATCAAGACCCCGCAGACATGCACCTCCCTGACTGCCCGGCGCCCCCTCTGCCAGGCAGGGGTCCAGCTCTGCCTACCCGGTCCCTGGGGCGTGGGCTCCTGCGACGTGAGGCCCCTGCGCGCAAACTGCCACGGCCCACACGGCCCCGCCTCACGCCCCCGCCCCCGCGGCCGGGCCTACCTGTTGGGGGTGTAGTCGAGCGCGCCCACCTCCTCGCTGGCCTGCAGCAGGTCCAGGATGCCCGCGGCCGAGCCCCCGCCGTCCTTCTTCACTTTGGCGTTGCGGGTGGGCTTGGTGTCCGTGTCGATGCGCAGGGAGCCCTCGTCCGAGGAGTCGTCGCTCGGCTGTGGGGATGGGGAGCCGGTCAGAACAGAGCCGGGGGGAGGGACAGGACTACCGTTCCCCTTGACAAGAAAAACAAGTTTTTAAAAATTAAAAAGATCCCAACCTGGGATGAGCATGTGGGGCCGGCCGGACGGACGGCCCGGGGGTTCCTGGGGTTTCCCATCGGGACTGTGGAGCCTGCCTGCAGAGCGCCTGGCACCATCCTGCCCAGCACTGTGCCCCAGAGGAACCCTGGTCCCCAAGACCTTGTGCCGGAGCCCCGTGGGGAGCACAGGCACCAGGCGCCAGGAGCCAGCGCCGTCGGTGAGGAGCAGGCAGGGGGCGCCCGCACCCGCGCTCCGGGTGACAGGAGGCCCCAGGGGAAACTCCGGGGCTGCCCAGGCAGCATGTGAGGCCCCACGGGAACTGCCAGGCTCACCGCAGAGAGCCACCACCTCGTGGCTGGATGAGGCCTTACCGGTCATCCAACCTAGTCCCCCGGCAGGCCCAGCCCTGCTCAGCACCCATCCTCAGGGTCCAGAGAGGCGTCATCTCCATGGCACCTGGCTGGGCGCCCCGGAGGCCCACCCCCCCTCAGACCTGCAGAACCTCCACACTCCGCTCCTGCTTCCCCCTGCTGTGCAAGGCCTTGGGCTCACGTCCCCTCCGCTGGAGCCTAGCCAGCCTCCCCACACACACGCCAAGAAGACGCCCCGGGCAGAAGGCGCGGCCTTGGGGCTCTGAAGCAGCTCACCTTGTAGGGCGCCGAGTCCAGCTTTGGCTTCGTAACGGGCGTGGGCAGAGGCTCCTTCCTGTCCAGTAAGACTGCGACCAAAGCAGACGGGAGTTGGCGGATCGCTCTGGCCAGCCACGCCGGACACCCACCCTCTCCAGGATGGCCCTACGGGGCTGGGCCTGCCCCTCCACGTGTCCCCCAACTCACAGGACAGGTCTCTCTTCGGGGCGTTTTTCTTCCTCCTGATGGGAAACTCATCGATCTTGAGCTCCCCGTCATCCGACACGTACTCATACTCATCCCGCACCGGCTGGGGCTTGTCCTCCTTGACGTTCTGCAAGGCCCCAAACACCCCCGGGCTCGGCTGCGGCCTGAGGCCCTTGGAGCTGGGACGGAAGTGGACTGGTCAGTGAGGTCCACCTGGCCCAGCCGGTGCCCCACCGCTCTGCCATGGCGCAGAGGGTCAGCGGTCACGCCGAACACTGCCCAATCCCACAGCTCCCTCCCAGGTGCCGCGGGCCAGGGAGACAGTGCGCAGCTCACGAGGCACGGCCTGGCCCTCCCTGTCTCAGGGTGTGCCCTGCACTGCCCCTCCCTGGCCACCGGACCAGCACGGCCTTCCTCCCGCCTGCCCCGCATGCTCTGTGCAGGGGGTGTGTGGCTCAGGCCTCGGGAGACAGAGGCTGGGGCAGAGCGTGTGACATTCCCAAGGGCGCAGCTCCAATGCCCAACTGTAGTCACAGAGGCTGACCGCCGTGAGCCGGGGGCTGGGGGCATGAGCCAGGTCACTCCGCACACACACAGGGTGATGTGTGTCCACCTTCCTCTCCCGCACTTCTAGACTCTCTACAGCACGCTGTGTCCTAGAGTGAAGGCGTTAAAAGCTCTCCAGGAGGAGCTCGGAGCCATGAAGTCAGGGCAACAGGGCCCCGGACCAGGCCAATCCCACCCGCGCGTCCAGCAGCCTCAGAGCATGGCCATAAGCTCCTGGGAATAACGGGCCTGCCGCCCCGGCCCCGCCCCACTTCTCCGCCCCCGGAGCGGCTCTCTCCCCCCATTCCGCAGGAGAGGAAACAGGCCCCCCCGCCCCCCCAGCAAAGGGGCCCCGCTCTGCGGCGATGTAGCTGCTTCCCGCCTTCGGGGCACCCAGCCTGCACGTGACTCAGCAAGCAGCCTGTGGGGCCACTGTTGGTGAGACGTCTCAGGGGCATCTATTCCCCGCTTTTCCCTCTTCCATCTCCCACCTCTTCTTCCATCTCCCCACCATCGGTGAGACGTCTCAGGGGCATGAAGCCCGTCCCGTCCACCGGGCCCTGGGCTGGGCTGCAGGCTGTCAGCAGGCACGGACCTGCTCCACAGTCTGGAAACCACACACCCATGCCCAGGCTGGCACCCCAAAGTCTTCGCTCAGCTCCACCTCCTCTTGGAAGCCCTCTCCACTCCCTGGGCACACAAGGACCCCCGTCCCTGTCAGTCACAATTTTAGGTGGGTTTGAGAGTACGGGGTTCACAATGTCTCCCCCGCCCCCCGCACACTGGCCTCTGGCCTCTGAGGACAGGGTCCTGAGCTCCACCACGTCCTCTGTCCCAGAAAAGCCACCAGCTAATGTCTACCCAACCACGCTCTCCCCTCCCTGCCACACACACCGACCCTCCCCATCCACACAGGCTGTGGCTCAGGAAGCAGAGAGGGTCTGCCCAGTGGGGCCCGCACAGGGCATTCCCAGTGATGTCAGCCAGCTCAGGAAGGGCTTCTCCTGAGGAGTCCTTCAGGTAAGCGTGTGTATGGAGGGGTGTGCAGGGGTGAGTGCCTGTGCGTGTTGTGTGTGATGTGTGTGAAGGCGTGTGCATTGTGCATGGAAGGGTGTGCAGAGTGTGTGTGTGTGTGTGTGTGTAGGGGGTGAGGGTGTGTTGTGCACATGCATGATGTGTATGATGTATGTGATGTGTGTGGAGGGGTGTGCAGGGTATGTGTGTTTGTGTGTGATGTGTGTGGAGAGGCGTGCAAGGTGTGAGTGTGTGTATATGATGTGTGTGAAGGGGTGTGCAGGGTGTGTTGTGCATGGAGGGGTGAATAGGGTGTGCATGCATGTGTGATGTGTGTGGAGGGGTGTGCAGGGTGTATTGTGCAGGGTGTGTGTGTGTGTGTGTATTTGATATGTGTGGAGGGGTGTGCAGGGTGTGTGATGTGAGGGACCTTGCGGGTGTCTGTGACTGTGACCCCTCCTGCCAGGAGCATCACGTACCCCAGAAGCTTCTTGTTGGAGAAGGAAAATGAGAATTTGGTGTCCTTGTTCCCTGATGTAGGAGGCTTCTCCAACTTCTGCTCTTCCTCCATCTTCAGCAGGGAGTCGGGTTTGCTGTTCTGAAAAGCAAACACGGAACCATTGTTAAGTCCCACACGGGATGCCCAACCGGCCGCCTCCCTCTGAACACACCATTCAGGGACCCGTGGACCGGTAGGGCCTGTCTTGGGGGCGTGAGCTCAACCCAGGGCTGAGTGAAGGAGGGCAACGCCATCAGTCAACTCACAGGGCCACACGCGCAGCCTCTTGGGCCGGAATGCTCCCATAACAACCCCATGGGAGGCGGCCCCTCCAGGTCACACACATTCCCAGACCTCCACAGCACGGCCCACTGGGGATGGGTGGACACACAGCTGTACATGCCCTACAAGAATAGGTGGGTACCTCTGCTCATAACACACGCCCACAAATGCCCACACACGACCTGTCTCATAATGCGTCCCTGAACGTAGACTCACTCACCACATGTGCATGCAAACACACATGTGCACGCACGCACGCACACCCACATGCTTGCACACAGAAACCCATGAGCACACACATGCAAACACACAGGTGCATACACAGGCACACCCACAGGCATACATCTCACCTTGTACTTCCACTTGGCCTCTGACTTGCTCTTAGTCTGCTCTCGGATTTCCAGCCTTTCCATGTCATTCTGTGTGATTACCTCCTTGTTGGGCACACTCAGGACACTCTTTGCGGCCTAGAAAACAGCAGCCATGAACCAGTGGTGGACATGGGAGGGCAGGGAGCTACTTTAGGCTACAGGACAAAACAAGAATCACAGAGTCCCTCCCTCCTCCTGGCCCATATGCAGCAGCTCATCCATCCATCCATCCATCTACCCACCCATTGGCCACCTATCCACTCATCCATCCATCCATCCGTCCATCCATCTGTCCATCCATCCACCCACCCATCTGCCACCTATCCACTCATCCATCCATCCATCCGTCCATCTACCATCCACTCACCCATCCACTCACCAATCCATCCACCTTCCATTCACCATGCACCTATCTATCCACCTACCCACCCACCCATCCATCCAACCAGCTATCTATCCACCTACTCTTCTTTTCCTTCTCCCTCCCTCCTTCCTTCCATCCATCTGTTCATTCACTCATTTATCTACTCTGTTTGCCTTAAGGAAGGGAAACCAGATGTCCCAGTGCAGGCCTGCAAGGCTGGTCCTGGTGTTCGCAGACCTCCTGGAAGGTTAAAAGCCTTTCGCCAGCAGAAATCACCCAGTGAGACCTACTGGTCTCAGACACTCATGGCCCCTGAAGCCCATACTGAAGACCTTCTGATTACACTGGTGGGCCCTCAGGGCCAGGCCTGACTCTCACTCTGCCCACAGGGGCTCGGGCCCCCATTGCCAAAGAGATTGGCAACTATCCATCCACCTACTCTTCTTTTCCTCCTCCCTCCCCTCCTACTCCCCTCTACCCTCCACTTGGTGCCTCACTTACCTTCAAATCTCACCCAGTGTCTGGGTCCTGGGAAGACAGCCAGCTCATTCCCCACATGACCACCCTGTCCCAGCACAGACACTGCCACCTTCGTCACGACGGTCTCTCCCCAGCAGCCCACCACGCTAAGCTTGGGCAGAGCCCATCTGCCCTGGGTCCCAGGCATCGGAACGGGCAGCTGCAGCCCCCTCCCACAGGCCTGACCCAGAGGTGTCTGCGGGCTGACTGACCACAGCGGGGAGGGCAGCCGCTCACCTTGCCCTTCTTAGGCGGCTCCATCTTGGTCAGCGCCTCCTTGGTGTGGGCCTCCAGCAGGTCCAGGTTGGGGATTGTGGGCGAGGATGACCCCCTACACTTCTTCCCTTTCTTCTTGCCCCCGTCCTTGAGCTTCAGTGATTTGGGGGGCTTCGGAGGCTTGGGAGGCTTGGGGGGCTTGGGGACTTTGGATGGCTTGGGTATCTTCATGGTTTTGTGAGTCTTTTTTTTGGACACCTTCTCCAGGAAGGACCGAGGAGGGCTGGCCTCAATGGGCGAGGGAGGTTGCTCCTTCTCTCGATCCCCAAAGTAGACCTCATTCGAGATCGCAGAAGTCACTTCTGGTCTGGCAGCCTTGGAGGCATTCTGAGGAAAGGAGAGAGGTACCCAACCATCTCCTGTCAGAAGGGGATCATGGCCCAGGCCATGGGAGACACTCACGGGAGAGAAGGAGCATGCATTCACACCACTGTGTGATACACACACATCGTCTATACCATCCACGTGACACAGCACGTCCATCTGCACCATCGTGTGATGTGCCTACATTCATCCACACCATCATCTGTGTGATACACACACATAACCATCTACACCATCGTGTGACATGCTTGCCTCTATCTATACCATCTGTGCAACATGTCCACACCATCCATGTGCCATGGCCACATTCATCTATACGGCAAACTGTGGCTCGCAACCAATGACCTAGACTCTTGATTCCAATAATTACAGGCTTGTCATTAAGCCCTTATCCCAGTGGCTGGCAAACTCATTAGTCATGTGGCTTGCAAGCTGCAGTTTGTTGACAACTGATCTATACCATCAGCTACCTGATTCCTCTATCTCCTTGGTGGGTACCCCTGGAGGGCTGGAATCATCCCCCCCCATGGGGACTGCAAAGGGGCCCCATCCCACCCCTCACTCCCTAAACTCCCACCAGGAGATGCAGCAGGGGCCTAGGCGTCCGAGCCCCCCTCCCACCAGCGACCACATGGCCACCCTGCCAGGCAGCCTACCTCGCTGAGCCGGATCTCTTTGGCCAGGTCCTTGATGAGCTGCGAGGGTTTGAAGTGCTCGGGGAGCTCATCTTCATGCTCTGCCAAAGCCTGAGGGCGGCAGGCACAGTCAGCCGCTGAGTCCGGACGAGATGCCCACCCTCTATGCACGCCCTCCTCCCCGCCACCTCCACCCACAGGGGCCCAAGCATGCCCAGCCTCTGATTCCCGCCTAACCCTCGGTCCCACCAGGCCTGGCCAGCCTGCCTCCTGGGCCAGGACCCACCACTACCCAGACAGGCATGGGGCAGGGGCTGCCTGCATGGGTCCCAGAGAAATTAACCCGCGAAGCCAGACACTGGCCCAACAAGAACCCTGCCATGACCCCTCAGAGATGGAGGACCTGAGTCCCGAGAGGACGAGGGGCCCAGAGCCACCACCACCTCTGGAGTGACTGTGGGCTCCTCTTCCTGAGCGCAAGGCCCTGCCGCGGTGGGGCGGGGCAGCCCTGCACTGCTCATCCCAGCCTCGAGGCCAGAGGCGATGAGGCCACAGGACAGCGCTGGGAGGGCACTGGCCACCCCCTCCCAGGCCCACCCGTGAGAGAAGTTAGAAGCACCCAGGTGTTCCCCTCCTGGCCCCGGCCATCCTGAGCGCCTGCTCAGACCGTGCTGGCTCCGCTCTGGGAGACGGACACTGCCACAGGCACCCAGGCTGCCGGGCCCTCGCTCTGTCCCGACAGCCGGACAAGATTCCAAGGGAAGCCTGGGGCTGCTTCCCTGGGGCTGCTGCACTGGAGCTAGTGAAGTGTTAGCATTCAATGTGGGGGCACAGGACAGTGACACTGCGGGGGACGAGGGGTACAGGACAGTGACACTGCGGGGGACGAGGGGTACAGGACAGTGACACTGCGGGGGACGAGGGGTACAGGACAGTGACACTGCGGGGGACGTGACACTGCGGGGGATGAGGGGTACAGGACAGTGACACTGCGGGGGACGAGGGGGTACAGGACAGTGAAACTGCGGGGGACGAGGGGTACAGGACAGTGACACTGCGGGGGACGAGGGGTACAGGACAGTGACACTGCGGGGGACGAGGGGGTACAGGACAGTGACACTGCGGGGGACGAGGGGGCACAGGACAGTGACACTGCGGGGGACGAGGGGGTACAGGACAGTGACACTGCGGGGGACGAGGGGGTATAGGACAGTGACACTGCGGGGATGTGGGGTACAGGACAGTGACACTGCGGGGGACGAGGGGGTACAGGACAGTGACACTGCGGGGGACGAGGGGGTACAGGACAGTGACACTGCGGGGGACGAGGGGTACAGGACAGTGACACTGCGGGGATGTGGGGGTACAGGACAGTGACACTGCGGGGGACGAGGGGTACAGGACAGTGACACTGCGGGGGACGAGGGGTACAGGACAGTGACACTGCGGGGATGTGGGGGTACAGGACAGTGACACTCCGGGGGACGAGGGGTACAGGACAGTGACACTGCGGGGGACGAGGGGGTGGGGGACATGACACTGCGGGGGACGAGGGGGTACAGGACAATGACACTGCGGGGGACGAGGGGGTACAGGACAGTGACACTGCGGGGATGTGGGGGTACAGGACAGTGACACTGCGGGGGACGAGGGGTACAGGACAGTGACACTGCGGGGGATGAGGGGGTACAGGACAGTGACACTGCGGGGGACGAGGGGTACAGGACAGTGACACTGCGGGGGATGAGGGGTACAGGACAGTGACACTGCGGGGATGTGGGGGTACAGGACAGTGACACTGCGGGGGACGAGGGGTACAGGACAGTGACACTGCGGGGGACAAGGGGGTGGGGGACATGACACTGCGGGGGACGAGGGGGTACAGGACAGTGACACTGCGGGGGACGAGGGGGTACAGAACAGTGACACTGCGGGGGACGAGGGGGTACAGGACAGTGACACTGCGGGGGACAAGGGGTACAGGACAGTGACACTGCGGGGGACGAGGGGTACAGGACAGTGACACTGCGGGGGACAGTGACACTGCGGGGGATGAGGGGTACAGGACAGTGACACTGCGGGGGACGAGGGGGTACAGGACAGTGACACTGCGGGGGATGTGGGGTACAGGACAGTGACACTGCGGGGGATGAGGGGTACAGGACAGTGACACTGCGGGGGACGAGGGGGCACAGGAGAGTGACACTGTGGGGGACGAGGGGGTACAGGACAGTGACACTGCGGGGGACGTGACACTGCGGGGGACGAGGGGGTGGGGGACATGACACTGCGGGGGACGAGGGGGTACAGGACAGTGACACTGCGGGGGACGAGGGGGTACAGGACAGTGACACTGCGGGGGACGAGGGGGTACAGGACAGTGACACTGCGGGGATGTGGGGGTGGGGGACATGACACTGCGGGGGACGAGGGGTACAGGACAGTGACACTGCGGGGGACGAGGGGTACAGGACAGTGACACTGCGGGGGACGAGGGGCACAGGACAGTGACACTGCGGGGGACGAGGGGTACAGGACAGTGACACTGCGGGGGACGAGGGGTACAGGACAGTGACACTGCGGGGGACGAGGGGGTACAGGACAGTGACACTGCGGGGGACGAGGGGGCACAGGACAGTGACACTGCGGGGGACGAGGGGGTGCAGGACAATGACACTGCGGGGGACGAGGGGTACAGGACAGTGACACTGCGGGGGACGAGGGGTACAGGACAGTGACACTGCGGGGGACGAGGGGGTACAGGACAGTGACACTGCGGGGGACGAGGGGTACAGGACAGTGACACTGCGGGGGAGAGGGGGTACAGGACAGTGACACTGCGGGGGACGAGGGGGTACAGGACAGTGACACTGCGGGGGACGAGGGGTACAGGACAGTGACACTGCGGGGGACGAGGGGTACAGGACAGTGACACTGCGGGGGACGAGGGGGTACAGGACGGTGACACTGCGGGGACGAGGGGTACAGGACAGTGACACTGCGGGGGATGTGGGGGTACAGGACAGTGACACTGCGGGGGACGAGGGGGTACAGGACAGTGACACTGCGGGGGACGAGGGGTACAGGACAGTGACACAGCGGGGGACGAGGGGGTACAGGACAGTGACACTGCGGGGGACGAGGGGTACAGGACAGTGACACTGTGGGGGACGAGGGGGTACAGGACAGTGACACTGCGGGGGACGAGGGGTACAGGACAGTGACACTGCGGGGGACGAGGGGTACAGGACAGTGACACTGCGGGGGATGTGGGGGTACAGGACAGTGACACTGCGGGGGACGAGGGGGTACAGGACAGTGACACTGCGGGGGACGAGGGGGCACAGGACAGTGACACTGCGGGGGACGAGGGGGTACAGGACAGTGACACTGCGGGGGACGAGGGGTACAGGACAGTGACACTGCGGGGGACGAGGGGGTACAGGACAGTGACACTGCGGGGGACAAGGGGTACAGGACAGTGACACTGCGGGGGACGAGGGGGTACAGGACAGTGACACTGCGGGGGACGAGGGGTACAGGACAGTGACACTGCGGGGGATGTGGGGGTACAGGACAGTGACACTGCGGGGGACGAGGGGTACAGGACAGTGACACTGCGGGGGACGAGGGGTACAGGACAGTGACACTGCGGGGGATGTGGGGGTACAGGACAGTGACACTGCGGGGGACGAGGGGGGTACAGGACAGTGACACTGCGGGGGACGAGGGGGTATAGGACAGTGACACTGTGGGGGTCGAGGGGGCACAGGACAGTGACACTGCGGGGGACGAGGGGGTACAGGACAGTGACACTGCGGGGGACGAGGGGTACAGGACAGTGACACTGCGGGGGATGTGGGGGTACAGGACAGTGACACTGCGGGGGACGAGGGGGTACAGGACAGTGACACTGCGGGGGACGAGGGGGTATAGGACAGTGACACTGTGGGGGACGAGGGGGTACAGGACAGTCACACTGCGGGGGACGAGGGGGCACAGGACAGTGACACTGCGGGGGACGAGGGGGTACAGGACAGTGACACTGCGGGGGACGAGGGGGCACAGGACAGTGACACTGTGGGGATGTGGGGTACAGGACAGTGACACTGCGGGGGACGAGGGGGTACAGGACAGTGACACTGCGGGGGACGAGGGGTACAGGACAGTGACACTGCGGGGGACGAGGGGTACAGGACAGTGACACTGCGGGGACGAGGGGTACAGGACAGTGACACTGCAGGGATGTGGGGTACAGGACAGTGACACTGCGGGGGACGAGGGGTACAGGACAGTGACACTGCGGGGGATGTGGGGGTACAGGACAGTGACACTGCGGGGGACGAGGGGGTGGGGGACATGACACTGCGGGGGACGAGGGGTACAGGACAGTGACACTGCGGGGGACGAGGGGGTACAGGACAGTGACACTGCGGGGGACGAGGGGGTACAGGACAGTGACACTGCGGGGGACGAGGGGGTACAGGACAGTGACACTGCGGGGGACGAGGGGTACAGGACAGTGACACTGCGGGGGACGAGGGGTACAGGACAGTGACACTGCGGGGGACGAGGGGTACAGGACAGTGACACTGCGGGGGACGAGGGGGTATAGGACAGTGACACTGTGGGGATGTGGGGTACAGGACAGTGACACTGCGGGGGACGAGGGGGCACAGGACAGTGACACTGCGGGGGACGAGGGGGTACAGGACAGTGACACTGCGGGGGACGAGGGGTACAGGACAGTGACACTGCGGGGGACGAGGGGGTACAGGACAGTGACACTGCGGGGGACGAGGGGTACAGGACAGTGACACTGCGGGGGACGAGGGGGTACAGGACAGTGACACTGCGGGGACGAGGGGTACAGGACGGTGACACTGCGGGGGATGTGGGGGTACAGGACAGTGACACTGCGGGGGACGAGGGGTTCAGGACAGTGACACTGCGGGGGACGAGGGGTACAGGACAGTGACACTGCGGGGGATGAGGGGTACAGGACAGTGACACTGCGGGGGACGAGGGGGTACAGGACAGTGACACTGCGGGGGACGAGGGGGTATAGGACAGTGACACTGTGGGGGACGAGGGGGCACAGGACAGTGACACTGCGGGGGACGAGGGGGTACAGGACAGTGACACTGCGGGGGACGAGGGGTACAGGACAGTGACACTGCGGGGGATGTGGGGGTACAGGACAGTGACACTGCGGGGGACGAGGGGGTACAGGACAGTGACACTGCGGGGGACGAGGGGGTATAGGACAGTGACACTGTGGGGGACGAGGGGGTACAGGACAGTGACACTGCGGGGGACGAGGGGGCACAGGACAGTGACACTGCGGGGGACGAGGGGGTACAGGACAGTGACACTGCGGGGGACGAGGGGGTATAGGACAGTGACACTGTGGGGATGTGGGGTACAGGACAGTGACACTGCGGGGGACGAGGGGGTACAGGACAGTGACACTGCGGGGGACGAGGGGGTACAGGACAGTGACACTGCGGGGGACGAGGGGTACAGGACAGTGACACTGCGGGGACGAGGGGTACAGGACAGTGACACTGCAGGGATGTGGGGTACAGGACAGTGACACTGCGGGGGACGAGGGGTACAGGACAGTGACACTGCGGTGGATGTGGGGGTACAGGACAGTGACACTGCGGGGGACGAGGGGGTGGGGGACATGACACTGCGGGGGACGAGGGGTACAGGACAGTGACACTGCGGGGGACGAGGGGGTACAGGACAGTGACACTGCGGGGGACGAGGGGGTACAGGACAGTGACACTGCGGGGGACGAGGGGTACAGGACAGTGACACTGCGGGGACGAGGGGTACAGGACAGTGACACTGCAGGGATGTGGGGTACAGGACAGTGACACTGCGGGGGACGAGGGGTACAGGACAGTGACACTGCGGGGGATGTGGGGGTACAGGACAGTGACACTGCGGGGGACGAGGGGGTGGGGGACATGACACTGCGGGGGACGAGGGGTACAGAACAGTGACACTGCGGGGGACGAGGGGTACAGGACAGTGACACTGCGGGGGACGAGGGGGTATAGGACAGTGACACTGTGGGGATGTGGGGTACAGGACAGTGACACTGCGGGGGACGAGGGTGCACAGGACAGTGACACTGCGGGGGACGAGGGGTACAGGACAGTGACACTGCGGGGGACGAGGGGGTACAGGACAGTGACACTGCGGGGGACGAGGGGGTACAGGACAGTGACACTGCGGGGGATGAGGGGTACAGGACAGTGACACTGTGGGGGACGAGGGGTACAGGACAGTGACACTGCGGGGGACGAGGGGGTACAGGACAGTGACACTGCGGGGGACGAGGGGTACAGGACAGTGACACTGCGGGGGACGAGGGGTACAGGACAGTGACACTGCGGGGGACGAGGGGGTACAGGACAGTGACACTGCGGGGGACGAGGGGGTACAGGACAGTGACACTGCGGGGACGAGGGGGTATAGGACAGTGACACTGCGGGGGATGAGGGGTACAGGACAGTGACACTGCGGGGGACGAGGGGGTACAGGACAGTGACACTGCGGGGGACGAGGGGGTGCAGGACAGTGACACTGCGGGGGACGAGGGGGTACAGGACAGTGACACTGCGGGGGACGAGGGGTACAGGACAGTGACACTGCGGGGGACGAGGGGTACAGGACAGTGACACTGCGGGGGACGAGGGGGTGCAGGACAGTGACACTGCGGGGGACGAGGGGGTGCAGGACAGTGACACTGCGGGGGACGAGGGGGTGCAGGACAGTGACACTGCGGGGGACGAGGGGGTACAGGACAGTGACACTGCGGGGGACGAGGGGGTACAGGACAGTGACACTGCGGGGGACGAGGGGGTACAGGACAGTGACACTGCGGGGGACGAGGGGTACAGGCCAGTGACACTGCGGGGGACGAGGGGTACAGGACAGTGACACTGCGGGGATGTGGGGGTACAGGACGGTGACACTGCGAGGGACGAGGGGTACAGGACAGTGACACTGCGGGGATGTGGGGGTACAGGACGGTGACACTGCGAGGGATGTGGGGTACAGGACAGTGACACTGCGGGGGACGAGGGGGTACAGGACAGTGACACTGCGGGGGACTTGACACTGCGGGGGATGTGGGGTACAGGACAGTGACACTGCGGGGATGTGGGGGTACAGGACGGTGACACTGCGAGGGATGTGGGGTACAGGACAGTGACACTGCGGGGGACGAGGGGGTACAGGACAGTGACACTGCGGGGGACGTGACACTGCGGGGGACGAGGGGGTACAGGACAGTGACACTGCGGGGATGTGGGGTACAGGACAGTGACACTGCGGGGGACGAGGGGGTACAGGACAGTGACACTGCGGGGATGTGTGGTACAGGACAGTGACACTGCAGGGGACGAGGGGGTACAGGACAGTGACACTGCGGGGGACGAGGGGGTACAGGACAGTGACTCTGTGGGGGACGAGGGGTACAGGACAGTGACACTGCGGGGGACGAGGGGGTACAGGACAGTGACACTGCGGGGGACGAGGGGGCACAGGACAGTGACACTGCGGGGGACGAGGGGGTACAGGACAGTGACACTGCGGGGGACGAGGGGGGTACAGGACAGTGACACTGCGGGGATGTGGGGGTACAGGACAGTGACACTGTGGGGGACGAGGGGTACAGGACAGTGACACTGCGGGGACGAGGGGTACAGGACAGTGACACTGCGGGGGACGAGGGGGTACAGGATAGTGACACTGCGGTGATGTGGAGCCATAGGACAGTGGGGGCCACGGGACAGTGGGGGACATTGCACAGTGGGGGACATGGCACAATGGAGGACATGCACAGTGGGGGACATTGCCCAGTGCTGCTGCAGGTGGCCCTGGGCAGTCACAAGAGGGAGAGGAAAGCTGGACTGAGCTCAGCCTGGGCCGGGAAGGGCTGAGGGAGTCCCCGCTCTCCCTCCTACAGTGTCACACTGGCCAGCCAGTCGTGGCTGCTCAGCGACTCCCGCTCCCTGGCCTCTCTCCCTGGGTCCACTCAGTGCTGTCTCTACCACCGGCCTTGCCCCCTCCCACCTCTAGGCCCCCCCTCCACCGCCCCACCGCCCACCTCAGACCAGGCTCCAGGAGGAAGGGCGCGCTCCTGCTCCCACACCCCCAGCCAGCCGTCTGACTCGGGCTGCTGGCACCTCCTCCCCTTCAGCTCCCCGGAAAGGCAGGTGAGTCCTGGGATGGCTTCCCGCCTGCCGCCCTCCCCACCCCGGGCCACTCGGGGCACAGGTCCTACCTGCTTTTTAGTCCATGATCTGAAAGCACCATTGAGAATTTTAGCTCCCTGGACTAAATGAGGGGGCAGCTGCTTCCCGGATTTGTGAGAACCTGGGGAGAGAGGGAGAGGTGAGCTCAGGGGGGCGCTGCCCGCCCTCACGGGCTGCCCACAGCGACCTCACAGCCAGGGCGGGGGGGCCGGAGGCTCAGGGCTGGACCCTCCAGAGGCCTCCGCCCACTGCCTCCTGCCCAACTGCCAACGGTTCCTCTTAGAACCTGGGGGACATGCACCCAGGACACCCTCCGGGCAGAACGGCCGCTCACGGTCCCCACTCAGGCCTCTCCCACCGCTGGCCGGGCTCCCCCGGCCTGGTCCCCGGCCCACCTCACCAGCGGTCAGAGCTGTGCGCACCAAGCATCTGTAGGTACTTTCTGACTCCCACCCTCGAAGCGCCCCTGCACGGCTGAGGGGCAGCAGGGAGGGGTGCCAGTTCCCAAGGGGCCCATCACAAAGATGCCCTTGGGGCCGGGGCCAGCCCCGCAGGGGAGGGGCAGAGCGGCTGCCAGAGCGCGGACGCCACCCGTGACTGTCCGCCCGGCAGGAGCAGCTCCCTCGGTCCTCTGGGCCCCGAAGAGCCAGGCTCTGACCCTTCCCAGAGGACACGAGGCTGGCGACCCAGCCCGGCGCCGCTGGCAGAGCCCTCCCGGGCTGTCAGTCAGTGCCCGCTGCGGCTCCACCCACACTCCCCACCCACCGCCCCCACGCCCCAGGGCAGGGTGTGCCCTCCGCCAGGATATAGCTCAGCGCTCTGAATCTGGGGCTCAGTGGACAAATCCCAATCAAACCTGGCCAGCCCAGATTAAGACCCATTTGCGGCTTTCTCTCCTGAAAAACTACAGCCGAACCAGAGGGTCCCAAAGGTGGCTCCACTCTGCTCAGCAGGGCCGCCTCCTCCAGCCCCACGGGGCTGCGGGACGTCTGCGGGCTGGGGATCGGGGCCCGGCACCCCGGCCTGGCCTGCGAGGGCCTGGGACGGAGGCGGGGGTGCTTCCGGAGTCCCTCAGCTGGTGGCCCAGGACCAGTCAGACCCCAGGCCTCCGGATGTCCGGACTGAGCCCTGTCCGAATCCACATGAGGCCACGGCACCACGCAGGCACCCGGGTGGGACACGTGGCGGCACTCTCTGAACTGCCCGCCGGCCCTGCCGGCCAGGGTCCAGCCCAGCCCCAGGCACAGACAGGGAGGCCGCGCCGGGAGCTGAGGAGCGTGGGTGGCTGCCCGCAGGCAGTGCTCCGTCCGCCCCCGGGTCTGGCCGCCCTCCGGGTGTCCCTGAGCTCCACACTCACACAGTGGCCCGGGCTGCCGGCCGAGGCGCCAGGACGTACCTTTGAAAGCCTCCAGCAGGTGCTTTCCCATGTACCAGCAGGCAGTTTCAAAGTTGGGAAACTGAGTCAGGCTGCCCAGTTTCAACCTTCTTTCCACTTCGTATGCTCTGGAAGCCACAGCAAAGAACTATTCAATGCACTGAGCCCCGAGCAGGCGACACTACACAACGCGGGGCCCATGCCACACCCATGGCCAGGCAAGGCCACACGGAGGCCATGCCTGGCCAGGCCTCCCTGCTGGCCCTGGGTGGTGAGGTGAACCAGGGGATCACTTTGGGGTGAGTGCCCAGGGCCCAGCGCCCGTGGGCCGGGCTTCTGGACCTCTGGGTCAGTGCCCGAGGAGAAGGCAGCTCGGCCTTTCAATTCGCTCCAGACCCGCCGTGGGCCACGGAGGCTGTCCAGAACACGAGGCACCTCAAGGGCCCATCTGTTCCTTCCTCCCACGATCATGGAGGCCCAGCCACTCAGGGGAGGTGGCATCGCACTGCTGGTGGGGACCCTGCCTGGGGGAGCCCCGAGGCAGGTATGGCCCTACCTCATCTGCATCTCCACACTCAGGCTGTGGAGGAAATGTCCCGCGAAGGCCAGGCAGTCCACGGGCGTGAGTGTGGCATAAATCCAGCCTGGGGGAGACAGATGCGGCTAGCCCTCACGGCGTTCTCACGCCAGGCTCTCGGTGGCTGCCGGGCCTGTCTGGCCGGCACGGGCTCTGCCCCTGCCCGCCTGACACCCACGGAAGGCGCTCTGGCCTGGCCTCGTGTACTGAGTGGGTGGGCCCTCCAGGAAGGAGACTGTGTCCGAGCCGGCCCAGTCTGCTCCATCCAGCCCTGAGCAGTGCCGATGGGGAAACTCAGGCCTGGGAGCGGAGGGGACGTGCTCAGACCACCCAGGGTCAGGCTACCCATCATTCCCGACCCCTGCTCGCGGGGCGGGAGACCCCGCAGGCTGCCACCTCTCCGTGGAGAGCTGGGCTTCTCCCTGCACCATCCTCAGAGATGTAGCCTGGGCCAGACTGGGAGGAATATCTGGTTGTGGGGAACCAGGTGTGTGTGTGTGTGTGTGTGTGTGTGGTGGAGGGGGGGACCGAGACCAAGAAAGGCACAGGGGCGGATGAGTCAACGGAAACATGAGGTCTCATCAGAAAATGTGAGCAGCGGCCAGCTATTTGGTGACACTTAAGGACTTGTTAGCCATTCCTTTTTAAGGTGCAATGACAGCACTGTCATCGAGCCACTTTCCAAAGGAAGCCTTTCAGAGATGGGGAAATATTTACGAGGGAAGCAATATGACACCTATAACGGGCACTTATTTGCTCACAGCCTGCTTACTCTTGCTAGGTTTGAAATGTCAAGATCAGCAAACACCTCAAACGGCATGGCCCAGCTCTAGGGCCCTGGCCGGCTTCTGTGAGCATAGCCAGGCCGGGGGCTGCTAGGCCTGAGGTGACCCCGGAGGGGACTGCACAGCGGGCCTGCCCGGACCAGGCAGCAGACACCCCGCCGTGCGCTCCCAGGGCAGACCCAGAGGTGGGAATGCGGCTCCGGACGGCGCACTCACCGGAGGGGATGAAGAGCGTCTGGCCCTGCTTGAGAGTGCACTTGTAGCATTTGTCTACCTGGTCGGCAAAGAACATCTCGCTGTGGTTCGAGGCCGACTGCCAGCGCTCATACAGGGAGATGTTGGCGGAAGCCGGCTTGATGAGATAGAAGATCTTCTCCCCCTGCCAACGAGAGGCCAGTGACAGCTCGCCACGTGATCACAGAGCCTGCCGCACCCCCGGGGCGCTGGGGCCGGGCAGAGCCCTCCATGTGCTGGAGACACCGGGCACCTGGTGCTGGGGCCTGGCCCGGCCTACCCAGCCCCCATTCGGCAAACGCTGGAGCCACGTGCTTTAAGTTCAGAAGTCGGTGTGTTTGGAAAGTTCTAGGCACGGGAGTCCCCAACATGTTGGGCACCCTCTCCACCCACACACCATAACTGCAGCAAGAGGGGCACCATGTGTGCCAAGGGGCCCAGAGCTGTGACCCCCTGGTTTCCTGATTCCAGGGAAGCTCTACTTAGAGAGGCTGTGGCTCAGCTGGGGACGGGAGGTGGCCCGGGCGCTGCAAGGCCTGGCCAGCCCCCCCAGGAGACACAGAGCCCCTCCCTCTCGGGACAGACAGACTGAGGGACACAGGAAGGGACCCGCTCAGTCTGCAGGGACTCGGGCGGAGGAGCTGAACCCAAAGCTCAGGGTCTCCTTTGTTGCTTATGTCCACATCTTCCTTTTCCCCTAGCTTCTCTATCTGCCCCAGCCAGGGGCCCCCACCCCCCGTCACTCAAACGCGCCTAAAGCCCAACTTTAGGGTTTGGGAATTCTATAACACACACACTGTTCTCTGGGCAGTGTCTTGTGTCTCACTTCTCTCACAGTGAGGAGCAACTGGTCTTGCAGAACTTGCTATCTAAATGCAGAGGCCATGGACTGGGAACAATGCACTGCCCTGGGCGTGGGGGGAGGGAGTGTTACGTTGGTGCTAGTATGCACCATCAGATGTGGCCTGACAGTGGGATTTAGGTGCGTTTCGGGGGGGAGGGGGGCAGTAGAGCAAGCGCCCTTGTCCCCTCCTCCCAGCACTGCTCTCCCTTCCCCGGGTGGGAGTGGCCACTGACCACTCCGCCACCACTCCCTGGGCCTCACTGCCTCACGAGTCCCAGTCTTTAGAGGAAGGCGACGCAGGCCTGCTGCTTTGGGCTTGAGGTGCCCCTGCCCCCACACCTCCAGCAGCAGAAACATCCTGCCCCCTGTCCTTCCCGGGATTCGTGCTCGAGAAGACCGCAGACAGGTCACGGGCAGGCAGGCCCCCGAGGCTCACCTTGAGCACATGGTACCAGGCAGAGGCGCCCCCGGAGTCGATGTGGAAGTCGGTGTAGCTGTCCTTCACACAGATCAGGCAGTACTTAGTCACCTTGGGCTTGGCCAGCAGCGCGTCATCGGGCCAGTAGTTCTCTACCCAGGACAGTTTCTTCACAATCTCAGGCGGCTCCACGAAGCTGGACATTCTGGGGGCAGGACAGGAAGAGGGGTCAGCGGTGGTGGGAGGTGTCACCACGTGTGTTATGCCCTGGACGGGGAGGGAAAGGGGCGCTGAGACACGTCCCACACACACTTCTCTCTTCCGGCTGCACGGCCTCGTTCCCATCTTACAGACGCGCAGACGGAGGCTCACAGAAGGCAGGAGGAGCCCAGCCCGTGGGTGTATAACAGGCGTGTGTGCACATGTCAGTCTAACGCTAGTCTCCGGCCCACAGATGGTGTGCCGAAGGCCGGAGGACCATCCACCCGAAGACAGTTTCGTCCTGGAGACCAGGAAGGGCGGTCTCCTGGGTCGGTCCACCCTGTGCTGCGTGAGGGGCTGAGAGGAAGGTGTCCTCCCTCAGGCCCAGCCCAGGCGCCTCCTGGCCTCGCCCGGGGAACAGCCACCGACCTCTGGTGCTGACACCGGGCACCCGATCCCTCTGCACATCGGCCACTATCAGACCGGCCAGCTCACTTCCAGGGAACGTGCAGACCGGTGAAGGCCGCTTTGGTATCAGTTAAACGTCCCTGCTTTGGGGAAGATGCCCAGCGATGCATTAGGAATGCCCGGCTCCGCGGCCCCTGTGCAGTGACACCTCAGCTGCCTCGGCAGGATGCAGTCCGCACATCTCTGCATGGAAGGCCGTGCGGCCGTACAAGACTATCCCAGGCCAGAGGCCAGGCCGCCCTGAGCTCAGTGGCCTCAGTCACTGGCCCTCCTCTTTAAACTGAATCTCTGGCTTCTTCCAAACTAGAATCCCTCCCCATGTCCCATGAGAGCCCTCCTCGCCCATCTCTGCCCCTGCCCCCCTCCCGGTCCGCCCACAGACCAGGCGCAGCACAGCCCCAAGGGCGGGGCCCTGCGCCACCAGCCTGGGCGCCCAGAACCCTCCTTACACCACACACAACAGCGGGGCCACTGCCTCCTCCCCACCTGCCCCAAATGTCCTGCTTCTCTTGCTGTCGGCTCCTCAGGTACCAAACCTGCCGCCGATGCCAGTGGGTCTTCAAAGCCCTCAGAAACCCATGGCGCGGAGGGAAGGCGACACAGGATGCTGTGAATGCAGCCTCAGACAGCCCATGGTTTGCACCTCCCCTCCCCCCCCAATTTCAGCCCCAGAAGACATCACTGAGGACAGATTGCCCTGATGAAACAGAGGCCATGCCTCCTCCCTCTTGAATGGTGTGGAACTTGGTCCCAGGGCACTCAGCAGGTCTGGCGCCAAGACCAGGGACAACCTGGTTTGACGTGTACGTGTCCCCCACTCTCCCCGACTGCCCTTGGACAGGACCAGAAGCCCCGTACATGTTTCTGCCAACAAAGCAGTGGCCATGAGAGGCCCAAGGGGAAACCCAGGCCTAGCTCCTTCCCCCAAGTCCTCCCAGTGCCACTCTGTGAGGATCTCTCCGGCCAGAGAGGCCAATCAAGTTGATGGCAACATGAGTGTGAGCTCTGATAGCAAAGCAACCCACTCCTCAGAACTCAGTCTTGGAGAGCATCCTTCTAGTACACACACACACACACACACACACACAGATAAGAGACCATTTCCTCCAGATACCGTAACCCATTGTATTTCCCTTTTTGCCTTTGCTGTCAGGAAGCTCAAATTAAACCCACCGTCCAATTACATTATTTTATTATGGCTCCTGGTAGTTCTGTGTTTTGTTTCTCAATGTGGCTTTTGATAACTCTTATTTTTTCCTTCCTGAGCTATTTTGTTCTTTTGTGGGCTTTCTATAATTAGCAAGGTGGGCATGATGCAAAAATAAAACTGTGCTTAAATCAAACCACCATCAGCTCACACCTTGTGGGAGAGCGTGCACTGGGACTTTCCCAAGGGCCAGGGGGAGAGCAGTGGGTCCGGGGCAAAGGGGGCAGGGGCTGCACAGCGTGTGGGCACAGCCAGGCAGGTGGCGCTGAGAGAACAGGGTCATGCAAACACAGGGCGGAGCCAGAAGCCGACCAACCTCTGCAAACAGGGTCCGGGAACGAGGTGGGCCCAGACAGCCATGACACCTTGTGTAGGGACCTCGTCCCTGAGAATAGCAGCAGGCAGGACAGGGCCCCAACCCGGGGGGGAAAGGGGGGCCGGTTTGGGCAGGCAGGAGCAGAGCAGCTGCTAAGGCATGATCCCATTGTGCTAAAAGTGCTAATTAAATGTGTGAGCAAGTGTGTAATAAGCATGTGTGCATATGTCAGTGTGGCATAGGGGCAGGTAGGATAATATACACCTGGGTGTGGGTGCGAGAGTGACTGCATAAGTGTGTCAGTGTCTCAGTATGCATGGCGCACGTGTGCTAGGATTGTGTTGTGCCTGGGCACACATGTTCTGGAGGGAAGTACTGTTTCCAGTGGTTCCCTCTGGGGAGCAGGGTGGGCGGATCAGAGGAGGAGCTGGCATCTCATTCTTTATTTTCTATTTTAAATTGTTCACAATGCATACCTTTCATACTTCAGAAGAGAAACACAAAAGCATGCTGTGTGTGGAACTCTACACTCCCTGAGCCTGCCCCGTGCCCCGCCCAGGCCCCGCCCACCGGCTCACCTGGTGTCGGAGAACTCCAGGCTGGTGAGGCTGAGGACCCGCCTACGGCTGGTGCTGTAGTAATAGTCCACAAACTCCTTCAGTTTCATCTTGCAGTCCTTCTGCTTGGTGACATCTGTCACGTCCACACTCCGCTCTGGGCCTGGGGAGGCGGTGCAGGAGAGTGGGTAGCTCAGGGGTAAATGGCCTGGCACCCCTGAGGTCGGGCCATGACAAGGCCACTGAGGGGAGGGCTGCACGCTGAGGCTCTGATCTCTGCTGCCCAACCCTTCCACCCTGCCCTGCCACTGCCCCAGGCTGTCAGGAGGACCCCTTGGTGCTGCAGGGTGGCAGGGTCACCAGCCTCAGCTAAGGTGGCCACATCAGCAATGAAAAACACCGGATTCCAGGTGAATTTGAACCTGAGATAAGTGATAAAGACACGTTCAGTACATATCCCAAATAAAGCATGGCACACACTTACATTTTAAACATTAAAAACAAACAAACAAACAAACAAAGAGAAACTTCTGCGTTCTAGGGTACCAACTAATTATTCGGAAAATTGATAAACAGAAGGAAAACATTTATCCCACGGTTGGTGAGGGAAAGAAGAGTTCGGCACGAGTCCCCATGGAGGGAAATTCTTTGTATGAGACTCACAAAGGACAGAGGGAGAAAGGACAGGATTAGCCAATCCCGACCGCCCTGCAGCTCTCAGACCTGGAGCCCAGAGGCTGACGGGAGTGTCTGCGGACAGATGTGGCTGCACGGCCTGCATCACTGCCTGCCAGTGGGCGGCGGCACCGCAGGCCTCCGGCTGAGGAAGCACCCCTGCTGGGGAGGGTGCTGCCCACAACCTGAGTGCCAGCTTCTCACCACGTGGTGCCGGGACCTGGAGACAGGAGCATGCTGCCTGCTACAGGGAGGCCGTGGGCCAAACCCCGCGGAGGATTCCCTCCGTTCCCACATGGGGCATCTTCTGGGACCAACACTCCCCCCCCCCCCCCCATCTTCCCACCAGGAGGCGGGGAGGGAGGGGCTGGTCTAAAAGCACGTGGACTTGAAGGACGTAACAGCCCAGTGCAGCGTGTGCTCTTGTTTGGACTCTCCCTCCAAAGCCAGGCATAAAAGGGTCAGGAGGCAACAGGCGAGAACCGCAGTGGGTCTGAGGGACAGGAAGGAATTGTCGCTTGTGTTCTAGAGTGCAAGAACAGCATTGCGGTGGCATTTTTAAAAACACGGTCTGTTAGAACTGTGCGCCGGAGCTGTCATGGTGACATAATTGATGTGCCAGAGTTCCGCTTCAAAAATACTTGGGGGAAGGGGAAGTAGAAGAGACAGAAAAACAGTTGAAAGTCGATGGTTTTTGTGGTCAGTGCTGGGCACATGGGGGCTCCGGTTGACTCCTCTCATTTTTTGTGGTAAAAGTTCCAGAATAAAACAGGAGGGGAAGGAGAGACATTTACAGGAAAAGCCTGAGACCATCTCCCCCTGCAGCAGGAGGTGGTGCAGGGGCAGGGCTTAGGCAGATGCAGGCCTGGGGCCCGGAGCACAGCGCTGTGGGGCTCTTACCTGGAAAGAGCCTAGAAAACAACGCGCCCTTGGGAGGCACCCCCCACATGCTGGCTGTTCTCCCAGGGGCTCTCCCAGGCCCAGGCAGTGGCCATGGCTGGGCTGCCGGAGTGAGCCCGTCCTCTCTGCCACCAGCTGGCCAGCCCTGGGGACCCCAGCTCCAGAGAGGGGTGTGGTCTCTGGTTTGAAGCCAGGCGATCCATTTCGTCTCCAGGCCAACCCCCACTGCAGGCTTCGCAGATGCAGAGGGTTAGGCTCTGGGCAATGGGGCAACTCTGCCGTCCCAGTACCTGCGCCCTCACCTGCCCAGCATGTGGCCAGCGCCAGCCTGGGGATCTGCCATTACCGAGGATCTTTCCTTTCCTCCACTGGCCACGCAGGCATCCCTGTGAACATGCCAAGCTCGGGCACCCACAGGAGCCCCGAGCCGGGCGGTGCTTCGGTCAATGCCAGGTATGCGCTGGCCTCTCCATGCCAGCTGCCTCAGGGACAATGCCTCCGCACACACAGGCACCTCCCTCCACCCAGAGGTGCCCTGCCTGAGGGGGTCTACATGCTGGGAACTGCCGGGGGCCATGAAACTATCTGCAGACAGCATCAGCTGGATCCCAGAGGGACCCAGGAGCGAGGGTCATGGGTCATGGGAAGGTTTGTCCTGGGGCACGTGAGTGAGGCAGCCACCAGGAGAAGCTGGGAACAAAGCACAGCCTCAGGAGAAGTGTCCCGTCGTGCCTGAGCCTCCTGGCGTGACTGCCATTCGAACCCAGCAGTAAGAGAACTGGCAGCTGGTAGAACCCAGGAGTCTCCAAGGCAGATCCCACTTTACAGCTGAAGTAAGTGAGCAGGGACATTCCTAAAAGCTCCCGGAACCGAGAACAGAGACCTGAGTCACACTCACATGGTACAGGGACACAGCCAGGGCTCCTGGCCAGCAGGCCCGGGTGCCCGCAGCCACATGAACGGGGTGGGGGGAACTTACCCACGTAGTTCTCGACATCGCTGACATAGAAGGTGGGGGCCGGCACCGCCAGGCCCAGGCCGTCTTTCTTGGGGACAAGAATGGGCTCCGTGAAGCCATGCTCCTCCATGTAGCCCAGTGTGAGCTGGCTGCCTGGCACGCGGGCCACGACATCTTCCGCACTGCGGGGAAGTGCAGGTCAGAGGTCACATCAGACCAGGTCCCAGCCTCCCTGCACCCTGACAGGCCTGGAGACATAAGGCCCGCACTACTAACCCCCCCCCATCTCCCATAGCCCCAAGTAGAGAACTCCCCACAGAACCAGGCCCAGGGTCACAGGGCAGCCACAGGAGGGTCCTACATACTCCTCACAGATGGAAGCCTCAAGGTCTGGGAGGCCTGGCCAGGGGTGAGATGAGTGGTGAGTGGGGGTTGGGACACACCCATCCCTCCTACCAAGGCCAAGACCCTCCCCTCCCTCCCTGTCTCCTAGCCCCCTGCCCCAAGCCCCTTAATGGGTGAGCAGACCTTGCACAGGGTGAGTATGGGGTCTGAGGACACAGCAGATGGAGACAAAGCCCTTCTCAATGATAAAGCGACACACAGGTTGCACACGTTCCCTATCAAAACACCAGCTGACATCTTTGCAGAAATTGACAAGATAAACTTGGAATGTTGAATGGAAATGCAAGGTACCCAGATGACCAAAATAGTCTTTAAAATGAACAACAAAATTGAAAGACACTTCTCAACTTCAAAATTCACTACAACGCTACAGTATTCAAGACTGTGTGGTACAGGCATAGCAAGAATCCAAAAATAAACCCAAAAGTCTATGGTCAACTGCTTTTCATTAAGGTTCCAAGATAATTCAATAGAGGAAAAAATAGTAATTTCGATAAATTCTGTATGGTAGATCTGGATATTCACATGCAAAAGAATAAAGTTAGACTCCTACCCCATAACATATACAAAAGTTAATTCAAAATGAGTCAAAGACTTAAACGTAAAAGCTAAGACCATAAAATTTTTAGAAGAAAACACAGGCATAAATCTTCATGATTTTGAACTTAGCACTGATTTCTTAGATTAGACACCAAAAGCATAAACAACAAAATAAAAAATAGGTAAATTAGACTTCATCAAAATTATAAGTTTTTGTGCTTCAAAGGAACACTATCAAGAAAGTGGAAAGACAACCCAGAGGATGAGAGAAAGTATTTAATAAGTGATGAGTATCTAGAATACGTAAAGGACTCTTACAACTCAACCATAAAGACAATTCAACCAATGGGAGGGGTTAAAATGACGTGGAACCAGACTTATGGTTTCAAGCATCACGTGTAAAGAGCCTGGAAGTTGTCACTCACTCCTGTTCTCACAAGAAAAAAAGGTGAACAAAGTGAAAACCAAAGACTTCTCTTATATTCATCAGGTAATCGAGGTTATGGGGAAAATAGTCACCCAAAATACGGAGACAGGCAAGTACAGAAAATCACAGCCAAGATAAGCTTGCCTGAAGCAGAAGCCGAGGCAGTAACTGGTAGGGGAACTTTTGACAAAGTGTGGAACTCGAGGGTGGACTAGCTTAACAGTTAAAAACTCATAGGGGCCCCGTCTCAGAGAAGAACCACACTTCCATGGATTTTACCTCCAGAAATTCTACCAGGCTCTCATAATGAAGATCCGCTCCTGTTTCAGGCAGAGGGAGGGGGAAAGTGATGGTGTTTAAATTCGCTCAGAGTATTCTCCATAGTGAAGTCTGCCTCCGGGAGAACTCCCTTTGCCAGATCCCCATCTGACACGGAGAGGGGCAGGTGGCCTCACAGCCTTCCGTCCCCAGTAAGCAGAGAAAAAGAGAAGGCCAAGAAATACTTCTGAAGGAGACATCCCAGAGCCTCAGGCCCACTAAAGCATTGAACTTTAATCATTAAATTACAGAACACGTCCCCCTCCCAAACTTCACCACCATATAACAGGATAATAACAGTTAATATAGTTGAGAGAGCTGCAAAATACAGGCTATTTCAGGAGTTTTTAAGGAAACCCAAAGAAAACAAAACTGGAAATAAAGGCACAAGGAAACTAGAAGAAAGTGATGCCTCTGACACCCACAACTACAGCTAACACTGACCCAGCTCCTAATCAGGTCTATTTAAACCTCACACCACATCCCTAATTACCTCAGGTCCTATCACTCAGCTTTCAACAAAATATTACAGGGCATAATAAAAGGCAAGAAACCCCACAGTCTGAAGAAACAAATCAAGAATCAGAACAAGACTCAGACAAAGCACAGTATTTGGAATTACCAGAGAGGAAAGTTAAAATAATTGTGATTAATACGTTAGGAGAGCCAACAGAAAAAAATGGAGGATATGCAGGAATAGATGGTACTGTAAACAGAGATATGGAAACTCTGAAAATCAAAAGGAAATCTGAAAGTAAAATAACAACCAGCAGAAATGAGGGATGCATGCATCAGTAAACTGGACACAGCTGCAGAAAGAATCTGTAAGCTTGAAGTATGCCAAAAATATTTCTCAACCTGAAAGGCAAACAGATAAAAAAATGGGGATACAAAATATCCAAGAAATGTTGAATAATTATAAATAAAGTAATATATGCATGACGGGAATATCTAAAAAAGAAAAGAAATAAATGTTTGAAATAATAATGGCCGAGGATTTTCCAAAATTAATGACAGACATATAACCACAGATCCAGAAAGCTCAGACAGCACCATCAAGCAGCATAAACACACATACACACATACTCTCTCTGACAGAGTGAATGAATATAAAACTTCACTTAGACATGGTATATTCAAACGGCAGAAATCAAAGACAAAGAAAATATCTTGAAGAAAACCAGGTGAGAGAGATCAACTTCTGCATGAGCTCGGCTGACCTGAACCCTAGTGAAATGATGAAAACTGTTTTAAAAATTACTCAAAGCCTCTGGAATTGGCCCTAAGAGCAAACAGCAAAAGAGGAAACATCTATGCAAGAAAAATCTATGAAAGCTCGGTACAAAATGATAAGATTATGTGATATTTGGCCCAAAACATGCCTTGCCTATACTATCCCAGCTCCGTGAGGAGCAGGCTCCACTCCACAAGGCTGCAGCCAAGGACACAGAAATGTTGAATGAAAACTCTCATGGTCCCAGACTCTCTTCTTGAGCAGATTCAACCTTTCTTATTCCCCCAGCTGCCTGCTGCTGAGGCTAAGTCCTAGGCAAAGGCTGCCAAACCGTGGGGGCTCCCTTCTCCCACCTAGCCCACACTTGGGGAACTGAGGCTCTGCCCAGTGTGGGGCAACCTGAGAATGCTGGGGTGCTGGTCACCCTTACCCGGCCATTTCTACTTGGCTTTCTACTGGAGGTCCTGACCAAAGAAAATAAGCAAGAAAAAAAGTAAAAGTAACCCAGACTGAAAAAGGGAGAAGTAACACTATCTATTTAAAGATGATATGATCTTGTGTATCTATAAAACACACACACACACACACACACACACACACACAAACAATACAAGGAATCTATTAAAAAAAATCAGAATGAAAAAACTAGCTCTTCAAGGTTGCAGGGTATAAGCTCAATAATAACAATCAATAGTATTTCAGTATAGTAGCAAAGAACAATCTGAAAATAAAATTAAGAAAACACATTTAGAAGTATATTAAAAGAATAAATTATTTAGGAATAAATTTAACAAAGGAAGTGCAAAATTATACAATGAAAACTATAAAATATTGTTGAAAGTAACTTAAAAGATCTCAATAGATGGAAACATATCTTATATTCATGAGGTCAGAAGACATAACATGGTTAAGATGGCAATACTCTGATTCTACTGGTCTATGGATTTAACACAATCTACATCAGAGTCTCAGATGACCTCTTTGTAGAAACTGACAAGCTGATCCTAAAATTCATATGGAACTGCAAGGGACAAAAATGACCACAACAATCTTGAAAAAGAAAAACAAAATTAGAGGTCTCACACTTCTCAACTTCAACACTGACTGTAAAGCTACAAAGCTACAGCAATCAAGACATTGGAAGACTGGACTAAGGATAAACAGAGATCAGTGGGATAGAATGAAGTCTCCAGAAATAAGTGCATACATCTATGGCTGAGATACTTTCGATAAGTGTGCCAAGACCATCAAATAGTAAAAGAATTGTCTTTTTCAACAAATAGGAAGCTGCAAGCAAACAAGAAAAATGAAGTTGGATCCTTACCTCACACTACATGCAAAAATTAACTGAAAAACAAAGACCAAACTGTAAGACCTAAAACTATAAAACTCTTAAAAGAAAACATGGGAATAAATCCTCATGACCTTGAATTTTGCAAAGGATTTTTAAATATGACAATAAAATCACACACACACACACACACACAAAACAAAAACAAAGGAAAAGATAGAAAAATTAGACTTCACCAAAATGACCAAAATTTTTGCTTCAAAGGACACCATAAAAAAAAATGAAAAGTCAACCCACAAAATAGCATAAAGTATTCAGAAATCACATGTCTGGGATAGGACTTGTATATCAATATAAGAACTCTTAGAACTCTATAATAAAGACAAAAATAATTTAAATGCATAAAAAATCTGAACTAACATTTCTCCGAAGAAGATATACAAATGACCAAAAAGTACTTGAAAAGATGCTCAAACATCAGTAGTGATTAGGGCAATGAAAATCAAAACCACACGAGAGAACACTTCTTACCTACAAAGATGATTAAAATCAAAAGTCAGATAATAAAGTGTGGTCAGGCCCCGGCTGGTGAAGCATCCTCCTGTACACCAGATGGTGAGGGGGTTAATTACAGCTCAGGGACATGCCCAGATTGTGGGTTTGGGCCCCGGTGGTTGGGGTTCATATGGGAAGCAAGTGATCGAAGTTTCTCTCTCACATCAATGTTCTTCTCTCTCTTTCCTTTACTTTCCTTTTCTTCTCTCTCAACTCAATAAAAAACACGTCCTCGAGTGAGAATTGAAAAACATTTCATAAAAAGTGCTGGAATGGGAGAAACCAAGATGGCGGCAAAGGTAAACAACTAAATTGTCACCTTACACAACAATTTCAAAACTACAACTAAAAGACAAAACGTCTAACACCCAGAACCACAGGAGAGCTGGCTAAATGGAAGTCCTACAACTAGAAGGAAAGAGAAAGGAGCACAAGCGCTGAAAAGCCGAGGTACGGAGGCACACAAATCGGGCTGGTGGCGGTTGACTAGATGTGCGGCTTTTTTTCAACCGGAAGGGAGACAAGCTCCCGATTACTCTGAAATCCATAGGGGACCCAGACGCCTATGGGGAAAAGTTGGTTTGTTGGCCATCGGGTCAGAAAGTGAGGGCGACTTTTTTGCAGAAGTGTACACAGCAATCACTGTTTATTGCGCTGCAGTGCAGGGACACGGGGACTTGGAAATGCGAAAAGGCAGAGATGGCTGATGGCAGCCATCGCTGTTTGTCACACCCCAGCCTAGTGACACCCTAAGGCCCGCCCCACACATTCTACAAACCCACCCAGGCTCCACACAGTGGCTTTTGCATATAAATGGCCTGCCCAGTAGAAGCTTAACCAAACTAATTGCAACTCCAGTCAGACTGCTCCAAAACCGCCAAATCCCAAACAAAGAGAAAACTGTAGTTCTTCTTCTTCTTCTTCTTTTTTTTTTTTTTTAATATATTTTATTGATTTTTTACAGAGAGGAAGGGAGAGGGACAGAGAGCTAGAAACATCGATGAGAGAGAAACATTGACCAGCTGCCTCTTGCACACCCCCTACTGGGGATGTGCCCACAATCAATGTACATGCCCTTGACCGGAATCGAACCTGGGACCTTTCAGTCTGCAGACCGACGCTCTACCACTGAGCCAAACTGGTTTCAGCAAAACTGTAGTTCTTGCTGTAGCTCCTGCAGGGTGGCCTCAAATAGTAGCTGACCTGCACCCCATTGGAGATCCAGAAACTAGTGTATCTAGTGGTTTATCTGAGACGACACCAGATTTCAACTACTCTCATAAGGGACACTTCAAAAGGCAAACTCAGTGAGCACAAAAGCCCTGCTGGAACAAGTCCTGTTCCATAAATGTGTCTCCAGCACAGCAATTCTTCCGTTATAGACACAGCAGGTCCTCACAGCCAATTGTCCTGGAGATCAATTCCTCCCAGTGACACCAACAACAATCAAGACTTAACTACAACAAGACTGTACACACAGTCCACAAAGGGGTGCACCAAGAGTGTCCACATCAGGTAACTGGGAGGCTGACCCACTGAACCATATAGGACACCCAGCACACAAAGCCACCCTTTCACCTCAGGGAAGCAGCGAAAATGCCGAGACAAGGAAACAGATCACAAACGAAAGAAATGGAGGAGAACCAACAACTGGATGTAGAGTTCAAAACCACGGCTTTAAGGTTTTCAAGAATTCCCTAGAGAAGGCCGATAATTAACAAGACCCTCGAGGATATGAAAAAGGACAAACTAGAAATTAAACATGCCATGACCGAAATAAAAAAAAATATTATACAGAGACCCAACAGCAGACTAGAGGAATGTAAGAATCAAGTCAAAGATTTGGGACACAAAGAGGCAAAGGACACTCCTCCAGAGAAGTAAGTAGAGAAAAGAATCCAGAAAGTTGAAGATAGTGTAAGAAGTCTCTGGGACAACTTCAAGCACATCAGAATAATGGGGGTGCCAGAAGGAGAGAGAGAGCAAGACAGTGAAAACCTATTTGAATAAATAATAACCAAAAACTTTCCCCAAACGGTAAAAGAAATACTTACAAGTCCAGGAAGTGCACAGAACCCCAAACAAAAGAAATCCAAAGAGGACCACAACAAGACACATCATAATTAAAATGCTAAGGGCAAAAGACAAAGAAAGAATCTTGCAGGCCAGATGGGAGTGGCAAGAAATATTCAAAGTGATGAATAGCAAAAACCTACAACCAAGATTACTGTACCCAGCAAAGTTATCATTCAGAATTGAAGGGCAGAGAAAGAGCTTCACAGATAAGAAAAAGCTAAAGGAGTTCATCACCACCAAACCAGTATTATATGAAATGCTGAAAGGTATTCTTTAAAAAGAGGAAAAAGAGGAAAAAAAGTGAAGATAAAAATTATGAACAACAAATACATATCTATCAACAAGTGAATCTAAACGTCAAGTGAATTAAAAACCTGAGGAACAGGATAAACTGGTGAATATAATAGAATCAGGGACATAAAAGGGGAGGGGACTGATAATTCTCAGGGGGAAGGAGGTACCTGTGTGGGGGGTACAGGAAGAGACTAGACAAAAATCACCTATGAATGAGGACAGCGGGGGTGGGGTGGGGGGAGGTAAGGGCAGAGGGTGGGGTGGGAACCCGGTGGAGGAGAGCGAAGGGAGGAAAAAAGGAGAAACAATTGTAATAATTTGAACAATAAAGATTTATTAAATTTAAAGAAATCAATTAACCATAGATATATGAAAGAAAAAAAGTGCTGGTGAGGACATTGGGAGACTGGAGCCCTCATACTCTGCTGACAGGAATGGAAAGTGCTGCAACCATTATGGAAAACAGCTTGGAAGTTCCTCAAATAATTATATATAGAGTTACTCCTAAAATATGAAAACATATGTTCATACAAAAACTTGTTCAAGAATGATTATAACAACAACAACAAAAAGAATGGTTATAACAGAATTATTCACAGTACCCCCAAATCAGAAATAACCCAAATGTCTATCAACTGCTAAATGAATAAACAAAATGTGGCCTGTCCATATACTGTCCATATATTCTGCCACAAAAAAACGATGAAGTGCTGGTACATGGTATGACATGGGTAAACCTTGCGGATATTACGCTGAGTGAAAGAGGCCAGACATGGACAGCCACATATTGTATGACTCCACTCAGATGAAATGTTCATAACTGGCAAATCCACAGAGGCAGAAGGCAGATCAGTGGTTGCTTGGGGCGGGGCGGGGGAGCAGGGATGGGAGTGATAGTTACAGATTTCTCTGGGTGATAAAATGTTCTAATATTGATTGATGGTAGTGCACATATCTGTGAACATACCCAAGATAACTGAACCCTTTAAATGGGTAGGATATATGAAGTATATCTCAACAAATGGGGGGGGGGGGGGGACAGAAAAGGAAAAAAGAAGCCAGAGGGAGAAAACCGCCTTGTCCACAGAGGACCAAGGATAGAACTGCACTGGGTTCTCACTGGAAACCACACGTGAAAAGGAAAGTGGGATTGCCGAACACCGCCGCCCAGGGTGAAGGCTGAGGAATGGCTCCGAGCAGGTCCTATGTCACGCCCCTTTCTCAGCCCGGGCCCTGCGCCTGCCCACTGCCCTCACACAGGCCGGGGGTGGAGCACAGGGAGGGCTACAAGAGCACCAGGAGCACCAGGGACACCTACTGCCCTGGGACCAGGGCCTGCCCCATCTGGAGAACGATCTTAGCGGGACCCTCGCCCACTCCTCTCCCCTAAGAATGCCCCTTGGGAGGACACACCTGGTGGGGACAAGGGTCTCTTGTCTCCCGCACGGTGCCCAGAGGTTCTGAGAAAGAGAGAGTTCCGGGGAGTTATCCTCTGCCCTAGAGGCAGGCCCTCAGCTCCCGAGTCCCGGTGGGGGCGCGCTGGCCTGGGAGTGAGCAGTGGCAGGAGTCTGCTGCCCACCTGGGAAAGGTCCGACTCCGCAGCTCCTTGATGAAGAGCTGGCTGCCGTTCTGCACGGGTTTCACGTCAGGCGTCTGCCCCAGGCTGTGTTTGTGCCAGGTCCGCTTCTTCTTCACTGCAGGGAACACGGGGTGGGTCAGCGCCCCGCACAGGCCCCCACCTGCACCCCCTTCTCCCGCCACCCCTCCAGAGACCAGCCACGAGGGCAGCCAAGGAGTCTCGATTGCAGCCAGACTGAACTCTCCTCAGGCAAAGTCCTCAGGGTGCCTGGGCCCAGCCCACCCAGCTCCCACACCCCCATTACCCTGTGTCGTCACATGGTCAGGAGCTCTCACCATCCCGGCCTCTGGTTCTACACCCACCCTGACTCCCATTTCATACCCCCCAGCCTTGTAGCTCAGTTGGTGGCACCCAGAAGCTGGGGCCTCCCAGGACCCCTCCCTACTCAGCACCCAGTTGTGAGAGTCATCTCCTGAGAAGGTCCCACCAAGGTTGGCCTTCAGGACACCCCTCTTCCCTGAACTTGTCTTCAAATAGCCCAGACCCTGTCACCACCCTGCTGGGACCTTCCTGTCTCTGCAGCCCACAGCTCACAGACAAGAGCCCACCATCTGCTGTGCCCTCTGCCCTCTCCAGCCCCGGGCTGTGCCCACCTCACACACTTCTGCATAGCCACCCCTGCCCACGTCACCTACACGCTCCCTCAGGCAGTGTCCTCATGCATGCTCCCAGGGCACTGGTGCACACACCCTGCTGACTACGACACATGTGCACTCACACCTGCATGCATGCACCTGCATGTATACACACCGTACTGGACTGTGAGCGCCTAGGGAGGGAAGTGACTTCCTTGTGGCCCTGGCCCCTGGTTCAGGGCAGTCACAGGTAACTCGGTGAGTGAGGAGGACCTGCTCCTTAGAACTGCTGGGGGGGGGTGGGGGGGAATCTGAGAGAGGTTGACACTCAGAAGAAGTGAAACTGGATACGATGGGAGGGTCCTCGGGGTGCCTGTCCCTCCCAGCTGCAGGGTGAGCCTCTAAGAGGCAGTGTGGTCCCAGAGCAGCCCCACCTCAGGGGAGAGGTCGAGGCTGGAGCCATGCCAGGTCTCTCCCAGGACAGTATGCAGAGCACAGTGCACACTGTCTGGCACTGAGTACCTCATCCTGGGGGCCATGTGGGAAAACTGAGCCTTGGGGGCGAGGGTGGGGCACGGGGCCAGTGACAGGGCTGCAGTGGACAGGAGAAAGAAGCAGCACCTCCACTGTCCCCAGAAGCGGGGCCTGAGAAGCAGGTGCCGACTGGCCAGTCCAGACCACCTGGCCTTGACCCTCACCCAGGACCCGCAGCTCACCACCCCCGGAGAGAGCCCGCTGAGGCGGCGGCTGGAGCAGGTGGGCTGGGACAACACAACCTCGTTCTGCAGGCTCCCCTGGGGCTGAGTCCTCCTACCTGTGGCCCCCAGCCCCCCTCTCCGGCAACGCACACCCCGGAGACAGCTGCTGAGCCGGGCACCTGGAGTGTGGGGGCCGCACCCCACCTCGTTGGCATGACAGCGTCCTCAGAGAAGATCAAAGGGAGCAGTCAGGGAGTGAAGGAACCTCCTAAGCAGTCACAGAGCTAAAGAGAGACAAAGCGGGGTCAGAGCCCCTTTGAGGATATGCCACCTGCTTTCCATGAGCCTTCGTGTCAACTGTCAGTGGGGACTTCTTGCTGGGTTCCCAATGGGGACTGGGCTCTCCGTCCTCACTGTGGCACGCCTGCTGCAAAGCCCCCCCAGGGAAGGGAAGGAGGCAGGCCTGGCCTAAGAGGCCTGCACGCAGGCCACAGGTTGGGGGGCTCCCCTGGAAACACAGTGACATAAAGGGCCAGCTTGTCTCCAAGGGGCCTTTGTGGAAGCTGTGACTGAGTTGATGTGGCTAACACCAACTGGTGTGTCACTGACAGGCTCCAGGCAGAGCAGGCACTCAGTTCAAACGAAGAATGACCACCAATCTGGAGGGCACGCTAGAGGAAGGTGCTAGAACCTTTGCCCCTGATAGCATATGGCCACCAATAACAGCAGACAGGGAAAGCATATATGCATATTCGCATAAACATGCAAATACTTGTGCATACACATTCACTCATATACATGAGCACATACATGCACACACATACACATACCCTCCATACACACATGCACAACTAGGGAGGGGCTACTGGGTCCCACCAGGCTGTCCCAGCATGCCCTGGGGGAGGATGGCTGTAAGTGCCAGGAAAGGGTGCCTGTCCTTGACTTCCAATGGCAATAACAGGCAGCTGGGGACCACCCGGCCTCTGCCCAAACCCAGAGCACAGGCCTGGGGGCTGGGTGAGGCAGGCACATATAGCTCCGGCAGCAGGCAAGCTGGTCCTCAGGGAAGGGTGCTGCTTGGGACACTCAGCGGCACTGGAGAAACTGCACTGTTGTGCACACCAACACCCACTTCGAACCCTGCTATAGGCCAATCCCAGCGCCCCCATTCATGCCATAGCTCACGAACCACACAGAGGTGGCCCACCCTCCCTGAGCCCCCTAAGTCTGTGCCTCCCCAGGACACTGGGCTCTGTTGGGGGGTCAATAGGGGTTTCTGATCCAGCCCTGCTTTGTCCCTGGCTCTGTTTCCATGATCACGTGGTACACCCCTCCTGCCCAAGTCCTCACCCTGTTCATCTTTCCTAAGCCCTGAGCCTTCCCAGTGGCTCCAGAGGAGCCAGAAATGCCACCCGTTAGCCCATGGGATGGCAGTCGTCTCCTGTATCGGCTGGAAAGCAGTGGGTGGCGAGACAAAAGATAGCTAATTAGAGCAGACACCAGCGCTGCCCAGGCCTCAGGGTACCGGGGGAGGTTGGAAACGGCAAACTTTCCTGCTTCAGGACAGCAGGGCTGTGACCTGCCACCAGCCAAGGCCAGGGTCCAGCCTGCACCTTCTGTGAGCAGCCCGACCCAGGCTGGAAAGCAGAGGCCACACTGACACCCCATGCCATCTGTCTCATTTCCAGGCCGGCCCTCCTGTGGTCCCTGTAGATCACAGCATCTCATTCCCCAGAGAGGTTAGCCTGGGGACTTGCCTTTCAGCCATGACAGGGGCACCCTGGGGAGCCCCCAAAGGAACTGCCACACCCAAAGAAACCAGAAGAAGGCGGGGATAAAACTGTGGCAAACAGCAGGCGGTTTGGGAAAGGAAATCACCTAAGATTCCCTGCAGGGGCGAAGAAGGGATGTAGAGCAGATTCCCATGATGCAAATGTCAAGACCCCAGCAAGGTGGAGGCCATCGGGACAGGGCTGGGCTGCACAGCCCCTTAGACAGGCCTGCATCGTGTCCCTGTCTCAGACGAGCTTGGCCCCTGCAGGTGCTGGAGTCTGTGCCCCCTGCTGAGGCCTTTGGGAGCAGATGGAGTCTCTGCACAGCAGCTGTGAGGGCAGGAGCCGACCAGGAGGGGCTGCCTGGGCTGGGCAAGGCTGTACGGGTTGGAAAAGGAGGCCAGAGGAGGTCCCCAAGCAAGCAGGTCAGGAGGCCATCAGAGCCTGGTGAGGCGCACGGTGCTGTACTTACAAGTCGACTTCCCGTGGGTTTTCTCGCAGTTTGGGCAGTGGTATATGTCAATGTCTGGGGCCTCCTCCTCTTCTACGCCAACACAGCTGAAACGCAGGAAACAGTATCACTGGCGGGCAGCAATCCCATGAACGCTTCCCTGCACAGCTCCCAGGCAGCTCTTGCTCACCCTGGGGAGGGCCAGGGCAGTGTGTGCACAGATGGGGCAGACTGTTGTGGGGACAAGTCAGGGGTCAAGGAGGAGGGGAGGAGGGGCAAGGAAGGCCTCACCAATGCATGACCAGGGCAGGGGAGGAACCAGGGGCCAGCAGGCCTCCCTCCCTCCGGAAAGCTGTCCCTGCCCTGTCACCATAGAGCTCAGGGAGGCTAAGGGGGTCACTTCACTGGGGCAGCTCAGAGCCATCAGCAAGGTCCCTCAGGACCCCATGGGGGACCGCCATAAATCTCCCAGGGGGCCACACTGGGACAACCGATAGCAACGGGTGACGCTCAACTCCTATCTTACACCCTACAAAAAAGTTAGCTGAAAATGGGTTAATCACCTAAATGCAAAAGCTAAAACTGTAATACTCTTAGAAGAAAGCACAGAGGTAAATCTCCATAGCCAGGATTTGGTCATGGACTCCTAGATATGACACCAAAAGCACAGCAACAACAAAAATAAACTGAATGTCATCGAAATTAAAAACTTGTATGCATTAAAGGACACTAGCAAGAAAGTGAAAAGCAACATACAGAATGGGAGAAAATATTTTCAAATCACACATTTGATAAGGGTCTACATCCAGAATATATAAAGAACTTATAACTCAACCACAAAACAACTAAAAAGCAAGCAAAGGACTTGAATACACATTTCCCCATAATGATATACAAATGGCCAACAAGGTCACGAGTAAGTCAACATCCTGAGTCATCTGTATGCCTCTGACATGCAAACCAAAACATGCCCACTAGGACGGCTACAGTTTTAAAAAGAAAAAGAAAAAAATGGGAAACTACCAATGTGGCAAGGATATAGAGAAGTTATAACCCTCTTACAAATGTAAAATGGTGTGGTTTCTATGGAAACTGTATGGTGGTTCCTCAAAAAAGTTAAAGATAGGATTACCATATGACCCAGCAATTCCACTTGCAGGTATACACCCAAAAGAACGGAGACCGGTCTCAAATCCTTTGCACAAGCGTTCACAGCGGCATCAGTCACAATAACCAAAAGATGGGAGCAACCCTGTCCATTGACCGGTAAATTGGTAAACAAATTGTGGGGTGTCTATACAATGGAATATTATTCAACCTTAAAAAGGATTAGAGGGCTGACACTTGCTACAACATGAAGAACCTCAAAAAAAGTATGTTGAGTGAAAAAGAGCCAGGCATAGAAGGCCACATATTGCAGGATCCCACTCATATGAAATACCCGTATGAGACAGAAGGCTGGCTGGTGGTTCCGGGGGAAGGGGGGCCGGGGAAAAGGAAGTGACTGTTTAGTGGGATGAAATGCTTTGGAACCGGGCAGAGAAGATGGTTGCACCACCCTCTGAAACGTGCTGAAATGTTCACTTTAAATGGCGGGCTCTGGGCGTGACACCGCCCTCCGGGCACCAGCGCAAACCCGGCGTCGTCGCTAATGCTGCTGACTGCTCCCGCTGCAGCGGGCGCTTACTGCAGTACCGGGTGACTGCACAACGGGGAAGCTGAGGCACGAGAGCTCTCCTCGCTGCTCAACGGGCCAGCCCCCGAGCCCAGGCGCTGGGCCGGCACTCAGCAGACAGGCCCTCGGCACGGGACCACGGCCTCACCCACAGCTGGGAGCACCCTGCGGCCCAGAAGCACCTGGGCACCTGCTTTTGAAAACACTAAGTCCACTGTTCATCCCAGAACATAAACCAAAGTAAAGTGCGAGCAGGCTGAAGAACTGGCCGGGAGCTCTCACCGCACAGGTAACTTCCTAACATACAAAAAGTGAGAAAGGAAATCAAAGAGAACACGGATGGACTGAAAGTGTTCCCGATCATGAACACAGACTTTCAAGGGCAAAATAGAAACATTTACAACAAACACAGCAGGTGCTTCTACCCTTCCCCCAGGGCGAAGGGCCTCTCCCCACAGAAGCCCCGGCAGAGCCAGGGCAGAACAGGCACCGGCCGCCGTGGAGCAGGCGCCCTCGCCAACCCATGGGAGGCGCACGCAATCGCACCACATGGTTTCCCCTCACAAACTGCCACAACCAAACCCATCACATCGGTGACACCAGGGTGGCGAGGGCACAGGGAGGAGGGCAGCTGTCCCCACAGCACCGACCTGGGCGGCCGCTTCTGCTCATTCGCAGGGGCCTCCGGATAAAGTGACCCCAGGGACGGAGGCGGCTGCACGTGCAGTCAGCTCCCACAGCCACAGCCACCAGGAGCCGCGGGCAGAGCCGGAGGCCGAGCGGAGCCCTGCACCTGGTTGGGCTCAGCCGGGTCCAGAGACTGGACACAGAATCCACCCCACGTCCACACCCAGATAAATCCCACGCTCTTGTACACGCCCCGGGTCCACTCTCTTCCACACCTTGAGTTCACACCCCACATCCACACCCTATACCCATCCTGAGTCTACATTTCAGGTCCACCTCCTGAGTCCATAGCCCAGACCACCCCCAAGTCCACACCCACCTCCACATCCCAGATCCACACCCAAGTCTCCCCGCTGCACCCACACCTGGGTCCCCATCTCGAGTTCATACCGGACAGTGGCTCCCAGCTTCTTCTCACTGGCAGGTCCTAAAGCCAACCGACACTTAGGACAGCCCCCTCCCTGACGTGTCTGCTCCAGCCCAGCAGGGGCCACACATGCCCAGGACTCTCACGAACCCTGGTCTGTCCCAGCCACAGAGCCCGGGGGCCTACAAGGACAGCGCAGCCTCTGCCACCAGGGCTCCGTGTGCCACCCCCACCCGGAGGCGCATGGGGGCTGAGTCCCAGGTCCATCAAAAGGAAGGCTGTCAACACCCTGACATACAACCCCAGCCCTGGCCACCAGGGCAGGCTCCCCACGCACTGGGGCTGGTCCCGCGTGTCCCAGGAGCCCCACCGTGCTCTGGAAGGTGGTGGGGAGCCTCCGGGTGGCGGGTAGGAAGCTGAGGCCAGGTGTCCTGACCGTGTGCACGTCACCACCCCTCCCGCCGGGCTCCTTCTCCAGCTACCGTGCGCTGCGGTGCAGGTCTCAGCTCGGTGGGACGGTGGGACGGCAGCCTGGGACTGAAGAGGGAAGGGGTGGGGGTGGTAGGTCCCCTGTTCTGCCCCAAATGCCTTGGAGCCGCCCCTCACCGGAAAGAGACGCCCCGGGGCTGGGCCGTAGGCAGGGGCCGAGGCTGCCCACCAGGGGCTGCCCACAGGCAGGCTGGCCCCGCCTCGCATGGGAATGCAGCACCGCCCCAGGACTCACCTCCCAGCCCTCACTGTGCCTGCACCCCAATAAGGATCGCCTGGTGCGCTAACCAAGGCCTGGCACTAGCTCACTGTCTGTGCTGCGTGCAGAGGGGACAGCCCTGGCTCCTGCCCAGCGATCAACAGGGTCCAGGGACCCCACTGCTGAGTGTGAGTGAGCTCTGCGCGGTGAGGGCTTGACCACATCACGGTCAGCTCTACTCTCGCCGGGCAGGCCGTTCACGGAAACGGCTCATTTATTTTATTATCCCAAAGTGAAGGCTTCCCAAGTGACCCTTAAGAGGTTATTTAGAAAAAGTACTCCCCCAAAAATGAGAGGAGAACAGCAGCTACGGAAAAGTCCGAAGATTTCCCCGGCACTGGAGCCCGGAGCAGACGCTGCACCCGGAGCCTGTCCCTCCGGCCCGCGCCCGCGCTGTGTGTGTCACGCCGTCCTCGCTCACCACGCACAGCGGTCAAGTGCTGACAGAGCGTCAGTGAGAAGAAAATCCCAGCCTGCACATGCCTGCGGCACGCCTCTGCAGGGACCTGCCAGGGGTCTGCCCGAACAGCTGGCTCTCATGGTCTGGAGGTCTCCCCGGACGGGAGGCCTCCACACCGGCTGGCTGCTCAAGCTCCCGTGTCTGCAGCCAGGTGGCCGGCCTTCCCTGCCCAGGGGTATGTGTGCCCTAGGGACTGCGTGGGAACGGCTCAGCGAAGACCCGGGTGTGCCAAGGAGGGAAAAAGACATCCTCGCAGCATTGGGCCTGAGACCCCTGGGATTCTGGAGGGAAGGTTGGCACTACCTCCTGGAAAGCAGCGCCAGAGCCCGCTTCATGTTTCCGTTACCTCCTGAAGGTCCAGGTACACACGGGGGACGAGGGACGCTAGCTGGCTAAGAGCCAGGCCCTGGACACGGCCAGGCCTTGCTACTGTGTCCCTGCAATCGCCACTTCTGTACAAGGCAGTCCAGCCCCGGGATGGGCCCACACAGAGACTGAGGTCCAGGTGGTTTGGAGAGGCCGAGGGCTAGGCGCCAGGTGAGCACAACTGTGGAGACAGAGGGGACAGGAAGACGATGTGGAGGAAGAGGGGAGGAAGGGGATCAGCGAGAGGGAGGGAGAGAAGGCACTGAGCCCGGGAAGTTAACTCAGTGCAAAGGGGAGCAGACCAGGAGCTGGGAGGGGTGTTGCGGGGCCACAAGAAAGGACGGGAGAGGACAAAAGCCACTGAGATGTCACTGTCAAATAGAACTCCAACGCCAATGGCTCTGCCACCTCAGCAAAGAGACAGGCGACTGCAGCGGCCCCTGGGCTGCAGCCGCCTGCGTACAGGCGCTTCGGCAGCCGCCCGAGGATGTCCTGCCCAGCGCCCCTGGTGGGAGGCTGTGGCCACTCTGGGTGGTGGGCAGCAGCGGAGGGCACAGGGCACAGGGCTCACCTAAGACAGCTCCTTGGGCCTCTGCTGACCCTGTCCTCCCTTCCCACTGCTGAGAACCCAGGCCACCAGCGCCCAG